TGACCTCGGATTTCGGATTTTTATAGTTTTTCTCTTCCACTATTCGGACTTCCGATTGGCCCTTCATCCCCTTTCTCGCTTCCCGATTGGTCTCTCTTTTGTTTTGGGGTAAACTGAGACCGCCTCAGGTTACGGGAAAGGTCTGATTCCAGGTGTCTGCTCGACGCCGTTCTGTCGATTGTTGACAAAATTGCAAGACTCGCGCTTATAATTTAACTCCGTTACTCGCGATTTCTGTCATCTGGGTACTCGAACGATCATATGCAATGATTTATCTCTCTTAAATCTTTCCCTCTTTTCAGAAATTGTTTCCCTAGATTGACTGTTTATGAGCGCTGGGGTCAAAGTTCTACCTGCATATGACCACTTATCTCTGACTTATAACCTTTCACTCTGACATTGACAGTTAGTTTAACACGTGTTCGAGTCATCCGAGACTCGTTGTCTACATTTTGTGCCGCGTTGTTTAAGTTATGGGATTTTCCTCTCCCTCTCATAATTAATCTATCATTATTATTTAATCATAGGAATATCGCGATTTACATGATTCGGACCTCGGTTGGGTCTTCACAAATGTCAGTGTTCCGTCAGTATGATTTTTGTTTCTTTTGAATCTATTTGTTTCTCTGCATATTTCTGTGAATTTTTTAAGTTAATAAATAATATAATTAATTAAAATAACATCTTTGTGTTAATAAAGAAATAAATGTGGACAACTCAAAAATGAGTTGTCATCTGATTACAGCATATTCTGTAAAGAAGCAATATTATATAGGCAATATTATATAGTCTTGGAAGCAATATTATAGAAGCAATATTATATAGTCTTGGAATCTCATCCCTTTATTATCATTTTATACCATTACTTTTCACATTTGACTTACAAACAATTCAGTTTACAACAGCTCTTCTGAAAGAAAACTTAGCTGTAAGTCAGGGAATACCTGTAATTGCATAATAAATATACTAATGAATATATTTAAAATTAATTCCTTCAAGACTCAATTCATTATATTAGTTACATGGGATTACCAGCATGTTGGTCTCCCCTGTTTTTATACATTATGCTAGTCATTCTGTGAATGTATGGTATAAAAGTTTTTTTTCATAAAATCTCTTAAGAAAGCTACTCTTGTTGCTGAAATTTTTTTATGTCAGAAACTCATCTAGAATGTACTGAAGCTTGATCTTCAATAAACTTTTTAATGAACTTGTTTTTATATTATCCAGTCACTAGTAGCCCCCTTTTTTTTTGGTCTTATTTACTCAGACTATAGTCTTAAATAAAAGGATAAAAGGTTGAGTCTCAGTGTTTTAGATGGTTCCTTATGCAAAAAAGGACAAGGGAAGATGCTGTTTGGATTGTTTATTTCATATTTTTTGATGATCTTATGTTGTTTTTTTATGGTAATAAATAAATAATGAAAATAGCTAATACTGGTTGAATCTCCTTAACTTGGCAACTTTAAGACACATAAGAAAATCACATACATAACTATATTCTTATTCCATACACATATTGCAGTGCTATCAAAGATAGAACCTAGCTTAAAAGAGGAAATAATACAATCATTAATGATTCCAAAAAATATTTTTATTGTTTCATATAATATAAAGCCCAGAACTAAAAATAATAGTTGTAGTACCCATTGCTCAAATTATATCAGAAGTCAGCAAGGTCTTCATGGTTGGCAGTGCCTTCAAGATTTGCAGGATCATCAGATACATGTTCATTGGAGTCAGTGGTGTAGGATACATTATTCCATTAATTCATATGTCATTTTTAAAAATATTCTAATAATAAATTGAACATATAAATGAAAAAGTTTACTAAGAAATCTTGTTATTCTATTTCATATTTATGTGTAGTACTCTTTTCAAAATATTTTGTCACACTGTGTATGTATCTGTATGCACATATAAAAATATACATACATAAATCTTTTTAAAAATTTGTGTTTTTGTTAATTCTAATGAAATTAAAAAAATGAAATTAATATCCACAAAGATAATATAATTAATGCTACTTTTATTACATAATTTTAAATTTTTTTATTAAACAGATGCAAGGTTTTCTGAAGATGGTAAAGTAGAACTACAGTTTTCATATCACCAAGGGGATTATAAAGGTTAATATTCTTTATAATAATGATATTGATATACTTGATTACTTTATTCATTGAAAACATTTTATTTATATTATATATAAAGGATAGTTCATAAGTCATTTCACTATTTAAAAGTTGAATACATTTTTAATTTTTAATTATTTGTATTTATTTTTTCATATAATGTATAGAAAATTGAAATTCTTTACTACATATGGAAAATGTTATCACATAAATGACCTCCAATTTTTGCTTTGCAAAATGTTTATGTACATCATTTTCCATAAACTGCTTTTAACGTGTCTAGCACATGAAGGTTTGCTCCTGAGTGTAGTCTTTAACGAACCAACTGGATAAATATACTACGAATAAAACACACTTTTAATAATCCAGCTAATAAAAATTAATAAAGTAAAAACATTTTTGATCGTTTCTTAACGATCTTCAGTTACCATAACATAGAATAAAGCGAACACAAAAAAGAATGTAAAATACGAAATTAAAATATAAATAACGGAAAAGTAGCTGTTCTTATTAGCACAGCTACTTTTCCGTTATTTATATTTTAATTTCATATTTACATTTTTTTTTGTGTTTATGTTATGGTAACTGAAGAAGATTGTTAAGAAATGATCGAAAACGTTTTTACTTTATTAATTTTTATTAGCTGGATTATTAAAGGTGTTTTTTATTCGTAGTAGTCTTTAAGTTTCTGGATGGTTAGGGGCTGTTATCATATATCCAATTCTTTAGACAACCTCAAAGAAAAAAGTGATGCTGTCAAATCAGATGAGTTTATGTATGCTGTCTGCATTAGAACAGTGGACTGCTGATTTTGGAAATAATATTTAAGGATTTTTGTGTTATTGTAATAAATTCCCAGGGAACAAATTTTCAAAATGTAAAACAAAAAGTTAGTACATTTTAAAATGATATAGCAACTTGTAGGCTACTCTGTACAAGGTATAATTAAAAATGAACCAAACTTTTGACACAACTTTTATTTCCTAACACCTACACCAGTGTTTCTCAACCTCTAACGAATTGTCGCCCCCTTCAATAAAACCGTTAAATAGTATCGCCCCCTTCACTACAAAATTCCGATGCCAAGGGACAAGGCTAACGCCAAATGCGTACTGCATTGAATAGACTAGTGACTAGTATAATGTTATTTGTCTAATTATTATTAATATAATGTTTTACTATATCGCCCAAAAAATTGTTTTTCGCCCCCCAAAATATAAATTATTACTAATTGCCCCCTCAACATGGAAAAACGCCCACATGGGGGTGATATCGCCCCCGTTGAGAAACACTGACCTACACCATACCACTCAAAATAAGGTTGTGTCTGCCANGCCCCCTCAACATGGAAAAACGCCCACATGGGGGTGATATCGCCCCCGTTGAGAAACACTGACCTACACCATACCACTCAAAATAAGGTTGTGTCTGCCAGTGTCATAGGATTGTCAAAGCAATCTTGGAAGATGTTTTGTGATATGTCTTTATAGACTCTTGTTGTTTTGGTTTTCAATTCTGTTACTGATTGGAACATGCAACCTTTTAATATGTTCATTTTAGGAGCAGATGAAAGTCTGCAGGGACAAGATGGAGCAGGGCAGGGAGGAAGCATTGTTATGCTATCTTGTTAAGGTCAGATATTCATTAACTAGGAATGACTGATGAAAGCTAAATGTGAAAGCTTTAGTGATGAAATGATGAAAATCCCTAAAAACATCACGAAAAATGGTTTCCAGGATTGCTTTGACAAGTGGTATGAATACTGGCAGAAATATATAACTGTTGAAGGAGCTTATTTTGAAAATAGTATTATAAATTTGTGTGTTGTTTAAAAAATCTTATGCTTAAAGTTAAGTTTGTGAAAATGATAGAGCGAAATGTAGACATTGGAATAAAATAACAAAGAAATTTATTACTCGCTCATTCAATACAGGATTCTTTTAGGATGCCAACTAATACCTCTCCCACTAAATAATACACAATAGTACTCTCACGAAAAATGACACAAGCTTGATTTTTGACAATAAAATTCATGTGACGATCTCTGTCCGAATTAATCGTCTAATTGCCTAGAATTATACATAACTTACAACTAGGTGCTTATGACTACTTATAAGAAATAAAAATAAGATAATTAATTAGAAAAACTGAAGAATAAGAACAGGGAATAGGAAAGAGTGTACCCAAAATCTGTTGCAATGTTCTATTTTCCATTGGTATGTTGGGACAAGATTTCTTCCTGGGATGATGACTGGGTTCAATTCTCTCACTTCCCAATTCTTCCCTCACCAATCAATTCTTCCCTCTCTTCCCAAAGTCCTTGTCTCTACCATGTGAGGCCAAAATGCACTGGAGAGATCAATTTTGCTGTCTAGCCTCTCTAGGCTCCTGCTCCAGAATGAGCCACGTGCTACCCTTCTCGCCCTCAAGGTTGCATTCCATCTGTTGTTCTCCGAGATTAGTCGTCCACATACCAAGAAGGAGGGTTAAACAAGAAAATTCCAGAAAGATTAAACAATAAGAAAGATAGAAAGGGAGACAGGGAACAAACAATTTTAAAGTAATATACATTTATACAAAAATATACATTGGAAATATGGCATGTAGCCATAAGTTCATTAACTCTCCCACATACAGGGTATCTTGCAACAAAATTCTTGAAAACAATAATTCTTCTATAATATAAAGCAGAAGTTTCTTATATTATAGAAGAATTATTGTTTTCAAGATAGCAACAAAAATATTCAAAACAGTTTCTAATATTTATTTAATACCTTTATAGTTTTAATCTTATAATAACTGCCCAAAATGTTTGCCTTTGTTTTCTAAATGTGTTACTGTCCTTTGAGCCATGGAATGCTGCCAATTAATTTTTGCAAGTTTATTTCAGATGGAATATTGCAAATTTGAACTATTTTTGCAAACAACTTCTCACATTTTCAGCTTACTATTATTGTAAATTAGTGATGGAATGATACCAAAATTTATAATGATTCTGCTACCAATACAGGTTCTACTAAAAACTCTTGATGCAAATTTGAATGCAAAGTACCACATGATGTAAATTTATTCTGTTGCCATTTTTTTATCCTGAAATGTATAAGTTGAATTATTTCATTAGAAATCAATAACATTTAACAGTTTATGAATAGATTTATTTGAGTTAATAAACTCAGTTTAAAACACAACTTTTTTTGTTTGGTATAATCAACCATTGGATTGAGAGTTTTCATTGTAGATGCAACATCAAAATATACATGGAAACATTAAAGAAGCTATGCCCAGTAAAAAAATTTCAATAGTAAAATTTTGACAGCAGTTTGGGCAGAAATGTAGTCTATTTCTAATTGTTATTATTGCTGACAGAACATTAACAGAGCATTTAATTTATGCCAAATATAATCCCAAAGTTTTTCCATGTGTCAAAAAACACCTTTAAAAATGCCAAACTTGGCAACATTGTTAACTTATTGTGTAGTGTCTAAGGAGTATCAAGATTACTCTGGACAAAAGGTTGGGTAAAAATTGTTACTTGAGGACTTTACATAAGACAAACGACTTGGGTTGAAAGTAAGAAAATTTATTTCTTACTAGGTGCTTATGTAACACAACTTTTGATGAATTCTTATTTGTGATAAGCCTCATCAGGCTTATCACAAATAAGAATTATAGTGGTGCAGCACTACAATTGGCTCTGATAGTCTATGTTACTGTTTTATTTCTTACCACAGTTTCAGGTTTTTATGTCACATGTTGAACAAAGTAGATAATAGGAAGGGCTTATCACACCAAATGACAATGGGCACAAACGCTCAAAAATCAAAGTAAAAAAGTTTAATAAAACAAATAGGGTTGTACAATAAGATGATTACATAAGTATAAAACCGTAAAAATCCAAATAATAATTGGCAATATAACTACACTTTAGCTTATCACTACTAGATACAAAATAAAAACCATGATCGTGTCAATTAGTAATTATTCCTTTCGCGGATATGATTATAAAGAAGAAGAAAAGTACTTTTTTTTTTTACAATCACTTCACAGAAGCAGCTCCCTCATTGAAACTACTGTACGCATCTGAACAAAAACTTCACCTTACATCCCAGAGTCCTCTCACAAATAGGTTCGGCCACATGGTTTCGATGATGCCGATTGATTTCTTTCGTGGCGAATTTCTGTCCCTTTGTTGTGACCAATTCGTACTCCTTCTTGCACACTCCAGCATACCTCCACCCGTCTAGCCCAAGTCCCGGTCAGCAAAAAGAGAGAGAGCTACCACACGTGGGATGGCAATTTATATCTCCCGCCATCGTGCCATGTCACCCCACCACACATGAACATCACACAGCCAATTAAAACAAGGCAGCTGTGCCCCCCCAAAAAAAATGCGGTTTAGAAGAACGAAAAACAAAGTTCACAATTACAATACCAGGTATGGAATAACGGACCTAATACAAGAAGGTTATACATACACTCAACGAACACAAGAATTATAGTGGCGCAGCACTACAATTGGTTCTGATAGTCTATGTTACTGTTTTATTTCTTACCACAGTTTCAGGTTT